GAGGGAAGGGTTGGTATTAAACCATAGAGGAATACTTGAATGGGATCCCGGGGGAGGACTTCTCGAAAATTAAGGCAAACCCGCCCCCCCGCCTTACCCCTGCCGCCTTCCCCTGCAAGTGGACCAGATGTTCCGGGGGAGGAGGAGGATTGAGAGCCGTACTCTGACTTGTATCTTTGCAGAGAGACTAGGGACATAACTTCAGTATAGAATACAAGAATGAAGCGACAGCCAAGCTCCAGTACGAGGGGCATGGAAGGGATAGTGACCCCATGTAGAGATCATTAGGTGTGCTGCAAGCACTGAGGATTAAACAAAATAATGTGTTGTTCTCTGTGACGGTCACAGACATGACGATGAGCGCTCCGGCGATCTAGGTCGAAGCTGTAGCGGCACCAGTAGCCAAGCCGCTGGGCATATTCCCAAGGGCAGGGAACATAGGAGCCCCTGCTCTTCAATGCTGCCAGGGGAAAGCTGCTTGCCAGGCTCAGTTCAGCACTATCAGCTCTCCATGGCGCGCTTGGGTGGGTGCTCCAAGAAACCAGTCGCACGTTACCACTGCCCTGCGCCAGTACGGCAGCAGCTTCTAATCCTAGAGACAATCACCCACAACTCGATAAAGCTGCATTAAAAAAAAAAAGGCATCTGCATATAAATATACCTCTGATATAAGACACAGTGTCCAAAGCAAAGTATCAGAAATAAAACCCTGCAGACTAAACAATCTGCATTTCTGCAGGTACATATGGAACTGGGCAAAGTAATCTCCTGATATTTCAAAGTGCTGATGCCAGACATTTTTAAAATACCCAGTACGGCTCTGCATTCCATCCAGCTTAGCAAAGGTAAAGCACAGAGGACATCTTTTACACAAAGATAAAGGAACAAAAAAGTTTCCTCCAATATTCTGCGATATTTAAATCTCTGTTTCTGTCAGCTGCTTTTCCTACAGTTTCCTGCTAAAATGAGCGATGAAAAATAATGAAAACGAATAGACAAAAATACTGAAAAACAAACATATAAAGCTACCACTGAGGCTCTTTAAGAAAACTTCTTTCAAAAACAGAATAAAATTCTGTTTTGAAAGTAAAACGTACGCAGGCAATGCCAACTTGATGCCATGTGCTTATTTAGCTCAATTAACTGTTGCTTTATTTTCACCCTGAAAAAATATTTACAGAGGGAACCATTAGTACTGCCTTTGATCAAAACTACTTCTAAGCATCAACATTCAATGCCCCAGGGAAACAGATACATATTAACCAGTCATGTCAAAATAAAGACTTGGCCAAGTGAGTTGTATATAGAAACAGTGATGCTCAGTGCTCTGTTATATTAACTAGATAACTGTTATTTTAGAAATGGTGCCTGGTATTATCCTACTAATTATAACTTGTTAGTATTTGGAATTTTAACAAGCAGCCATCTCTAAAAGGCATTTAAAGGCAGGGAAGTGCAGAGCAGCCACGCAGACAGTGCTGCACGCACTTGCTGCAGTTTGCCCTGCTGCTTCTTAAGCAATAATTTTCAGGCAACGAGAAAAATTATTATAACATGGAAACGTTCTAAATTAAAGGGGCAAGAACAAAAATCATCTAGGTTGTTTATTAGTCAGATCATTATGCAAGTGCCATTGAGCAACGATGTCTCAGCAGAATGGAGCTCATCTTTAAATATCTGCCAAAATAACTGAGTGTTCTATAAATCAAGGGAAACAATAGGAAATTTCCAGGCCATTCAGCCTCCTGTTGAAAGAGGGTGGCAAACAGAGCAAAAGGTACCCAGAAAGGATCTGTCGTAAGTGAGAGCACGAGAGATTAAGCATGGATAAACAGTACAGCTGATTTGGATTCAGAAAAGCATTTGTTCCCCTGCGAGAGTTAGAAATTAGGTATTGAGAGAATCTCACTTACAAAAAAAAGGGTGAAGAAAACAAGCTAGAAAACAAGCTGTCCAAATCCTACTTCAAGTAAGATTCATCAAGGCAGAGGTTACTGACAGCATGCTGGCAACTAATACAGGGTGTTGAAATGGTAGGAAAGATAAAAATTGGCAGAGCCTGAAGAATTGGATACAAGCTTAAGAAAAGTGAAAATGAAGTTGAAGACAGTTTGCCTTCCCTCCCTTAAAAGCATAATTCCTCACCAGACCATTAATAATAATAAAAAAATCATTCTCAATTCAGTCAAGAGAAACTGAGGGAGGTGCTGCAATATTTTACAGCTATTCCTTAAGAATAAGGGAGACAACAGAGAATATGGGTATGGGTAGAGAGGCAATGCATTTACTATACCTTCCAGGCTGTCTCCTGATGATTTATTTCTACAGCACAGGCATTCAGACAGAGAAACTCTTGAACAGAAAATGAAAACAAAAGTCTTACCAAGTTCTTCAAACCGAGGGTTTTC